AGCTAGTTTTTGAAGAAGCGGAATAATATCGCTCTCTCGACAATAGAGGCAGAATACATAGCAGCATCCGGAGGATGCACACAGCTGCTTTGGATGCAACAAATGCTGGCGGACTATGGAGTTGAGGCTTGGTTGAAGAAGGAATATGCAGTTTGAAACGTGTCCTAACTACTCATCAACTAGCGGACATTCTGACAAAAGCTCCAGATTTGAATCAGTTTGAAGTCTTGGCGTCGAGATCTTGGTTGATGTGTTCATGTCTGTAGAATTCGAATCATAAGTGGTAAATCCACTAATTTTACGAAGGAAATGGACTGATTTATTTTACCTTAAAGGTTCTTTCAAAGAAAATTGAGGAAACATTCGATGAAAAATATGCAAAAATTAGTCATCATGATATGAGCACAGTCACGTCTAACGGTTGTTCGGAGAAGCAGCAGACAATTCAAATGAAGGAGATGGGAAAGAAGAAGGAACAACCTTCACCCCCATCACGTCGGATAAGGAATGAATTTTTGTTTGATGTTTCCCAAAATGGGAGAAAGATGATGCTTGCATATGTTCTGTTGTTGATTGTGGGGGAGAGTTTAGTCGTAAAATTTGCTTATTTTAGACATTTTGTAGGGTTGTTGATCATCCCCATTTGAGTCGTTAAACATCAACCAAAAAGGGGAAGATTGTTGAAAAATGTGTTGTATTTAGTTGGTTTTGGTTGATGTTGTTTACCGATGGTCCGATTAACGGATCAACTTCGATGGATACATGCGATCCAATTTGATTTAAGCTCAATTCTTGAATGAGGCCCAATTTGAGGTGATCCATATCTCTTAAATTGATGAACCAGATATCAGAACAGAGATCAGCGTTGGTCCCTATTATTGTTGATGGAATCAGAAAATTTGTTATAACAAATTCTAATAGTGCTCTTATGACTCCAAATATAAGCATATTCTTAGCTTGACAAAAAAATGTGTATTACTCGAATTTCTGCATAAGAACCATCAAAATAATTCGTAATCGGCATACAATATTGATTTATATCACTAGGCATGACCCAGAGTTCGTTGTTGAGATTATTAACGATTTTTGCCCTCTTAAGCGGTAATTTGGAACCAAAAAAGCTAAGACAGACGCCGCAAGTGACAGCCGCCTTCGCTCGCAAGCGCCCAGAACACACTTTGAAAATACTAAGGCATGAGAGGCAAGCGGCCACTTTCACAGCCTGCAAGCGATAGCCTCTCCCGCTTGCAAGCGACAGTCCAGATACCCACCGCTGCAGACTATCACCAGATTTCAACTAAGTACTTCAACTGCAGCGGTACAACCATTCCAATTCCAGCCAGCACAAGCGAGCTGAGCTGCGCTGATGCCCTCCAGCTCTCCAGTATGCGAGGAAGATCTGTGCCCTTAACCTTCAACGCAAGCGGAGCGGGCACCCTGGGAATTATGGCCAGCAACTGCTTCAACAGAATAACTACCAGTAACCGCCTAACTGCCCAGCGGTTGGAACTGCCTAACAACTACTTACAACTGTCTCTTTACACATGCTATAAATAGGGCCAGATATCTTTATGTAAAAGGATCGAATTTTTGGTGATTTCTGCATATTTCAGCATTCGTCGTCTTCTTGTTTCAGAGAGCTCCAACCCTGTAAGAGAGTTCTCCACAGGAATGGCCAAGGGAGTAGGGGTTTTCCCTCTCCCTTGGTCACGTCTTTACTGCTTTCTTAGATTAGATTACTGCTTTCGTTTACAGCTTTGTAGTTCTAATCTTTCACGCTTTCGTAGTATATAAAGAAATATCATTCACTTCTTCAAACTAAATTCTTTCACACTTTTCCACACTTATATAAATCAAGTTTAGAGAATTTCATTTCATTGATATAGAGCGAGAGAAGAATTGATTATCTAAGCCTTGTTATGCGCCAAAAGCAGTCTCTAGGTAGTTCAATGTAGTTAAGTACGCGGGAGCCTTGTCGACCTGCTTAACTGCTATGCTAATTTCGATTTTGATTAAATAGTAGTAACATCAGGGGGTAAAGCCACTAATGAGGCAGAAATTGGGAAAATTAACGGGACATAGACGGGGGTCTATTAGGTCACAGAGATTCCTAGTGACAGTAGGGTTTCTTTCTTATAATATCTTAATTCTGGGTGTCATTGAAGTCTTATTGTGAATCCCCCCAGGCCAAAATTCCAGTGTGATGAGTATTTAGAATTTAGTTTATATAATTACAACACCTTTCTCCCATCATTTCCATAATATACATATACTCTTCCGATAACACACTTACATCATTCGCTCACTACATCCAGGAAAATCTATCCATTTAGTAACGCACAGATCAGACACAGCACATCTCCTTCACTCTAATTCGCTCATATACATATATATATAATGTGCCGCTCGCTCATGCCTCGATCATCTGGTAACCGTGATTCATCCATGCCCCGATCATCTGGTCCCCACTTCCGCTTATGTCCCGATCATTTAGTTACCACTGGCACTCCACCTCTCGCTTTTGCTTCGCTCGTTTCCGCTCACCTCATCTTTACTGCTTTATGTACCGCTTTTAGTAGTCAAATTTCGGATCCGCTGCAAGCGGATCCTTTCTTGCATTTTTTTTATCGCTTTCTTCAAGATTTTCACCTTTGAAATTCATGACTTAAAATCCTTGTGTTCGACTTGGAAACTCACCAGTAAAAAGAGTATAAATAATTGTGATAACTACTCAGGGTCTACAACCACACCATTGGTATATTTGATCATTTTCCTATAAAATTCTACTCATTGATTTTCGAATAAAATTCCCTGTGAATTTGTATGCAAATTACAATAACTAAATTTAGTTATCATGCTCATGTGGAGTAGCAAGGAAGTTACTGAGAGTGCAGAGAATATTCTAGAAGTGGGAGAATTGAAGAAGGATGCTAAGCCACAAAAAGAAATTGATATAACAGAGCAGCAATGAATCAGAGTAAGTGTGCATAAAAATTAAAAAGAAAAAGTAATAGAGATTTGAGAGAAAAATCATGATGTAGTTGTTAGAAATAATGAGAAACTGGGCGTGGTGATAGAAACAAGATTTTGGGTAGATTAGCTCAAAGAAGAATAGATTAGCAGAGGCAGAGTGAAAGATTTCTGATGGTTGAATCTAAAAAATGCTACTATGTAAGTTCGATCTGATTCCTGATAAGTTGAATTAGGCATGGGTTGGAACCGTCAAATATAGGTCGTTGATGACTAAATTGGGTTAACAATTGTTTCGCGTTTTGATTTTACTGCTTTCAGAGTTCATACGTTATTTGGTCTATCTACGAACTGTCCGTGTGCAATTGAATTTATTTGGGAATATTTGGTGTTGTTTTGTTGTTCATGGCTGTTGTTGTTTGGTTTTAAGCTAATTTGGGGCTAAGGGTGTGTTTGACAAAATTAGCTAATAGTTGTTAGCTGATTCAATTAGTTGATAGTTGTTAGCTGATTCAATTAGCTGGTTTGACTAGCTGATTCGATTAGTTGTTTGTATTAAAATATTTGGTAAAACAACTGTTTGATATTAGCTGTTTAGACGTAAAATGACAATTGAAGACATTTTTATTTTATTTTTGTTTCTAATATATTCAATTATGTTCTTTTGAGTTTAGAATGTTTAAAATTTTTTGTTATTAGTTATTGAAAATTGTAAAAGTGTTATAAAAGAATTTATTTTTATTACAGTTAGATTTTAAAAAATAATATATTTTTATTAAAATTAGTTTTTAATAATTAAAAATAATGTAAAATATAAAATAATAAATTTTTCGTGTATATATTTATTATGTTAGTATTCGATTAGTTTATTATATTTATAATTTTCAATAAATTTAATTTATTTTTAGTATAAAATTTATATAATGTAATTTTAATATAAAAATAAATTATTAATATTAATATTTTCTATTTTATGTTGATTTTAATAAATTTATATATTTTTCGATTAAAATAATTTTTACATAAAAATTAATTATTTTAAATTTATAAAAGTAAAATTATATTATAATAAAATATTCTAATATAATTAATAAATAATCAAAAATATATTTATATATTTATTTGTGTAAAATGCATAATAAATTTTTAAGGGCATACAAGGAATAAAATTTTTTTTACAGAAAAAGTTATTTCAAAATGTTGGTTAAGTTAGCTTTTCAAAAATTAGTTTTTTTGTTCCAAAAAGCTATTCCAAAAAACTAATTTACCAAACACCGATCAAACAGCTAAAAACTATTCAACAAGCTAAAAACTCTTCGAAAAGCTATTTGCCAAACACTCTCTGATATAGCAACTGCATTTTTTTGAGTTAAAAATATATAAATGTAATGTATAAGTTAGAGATGGTGATCTGATTTTCCTCAAACTCTAATGCCATCTCCAACCATCTCCATAATTGGAGAATGGTGGCCCGATTTTCCTCCAAACCTACGGCATTATGGAGTCGTTGCTTTGTTTGTTTTTTTTTTTTTTAGTTTTTTTATTTTGTAGATATTATATTTGTGTCCTATTTTAATTGTGTAGAAATTTATTTGCAATTTGATGTATTTGTGTATATACATAATTTTTGTGTCTTGGTAGTGATTAATTAAGTTTATAATATTTAAATTTTATAATAAATAATTAAAATATTTATAATAAATCGAAATAATTTTTATATAAAAAAAATTTATATTTATTTATTTATATAATTGTTACACAATAAATATATTTTTTTTTATATTTAACTTGTAAAAATAATTGTTAATAATATATTATTATTTATTTATATGAAAAATATATAATTAAGTAATAATAACTAATTATGTAAGTAATAATAAAAGTTATGTGGAAATTGTAAATATAAAAAATTAAAATAATATATAAAATAAATATTTGAAAAGTTGAGTAATAATATTATAGCAATTCTATTTATGTGAATTAGACATGGATACAGTTGTGGTGGCGTCGGACTTTCTCCCCCAGCCCCCAAGGCGAAGTCCTCTGCCGCCGCCCGCTGGAATATCCAGAGAGTGATTTTTTTTTCTTTTTCCTCTTTCTTTTTCATTTTTCCACTCATTGTCCGTCTGCTCGGGCGTCCATTTATCAAGGAATCTTTTTTTTTTTGTTCTCATCTCCTATTTCATTCTTTTTTGTTTCCGTCCTCAGCTGTTTCTGCCGGCGGTCGCCGGTGGCCATCGCCACCGCTGCCGTTTCAGATTTATTTGGCCAATTTTTTTCAGTGGCCAAAAAAATAAATAAAATGTAACGTAGGGGGAGCAGTTTTAGGTTATGTTTTGAATAGTAAATGTAACGTAAATTCATAGATTTTTTTTAAAGTAAAAAAATCCAGTAAAAATGACAGATTGAATGCACCACCCCCTTGGATAAGAGAAATTGCTGTGGAGCTGTTAAATCAGGCAATAATTAAAAATTAAATTAAGACCCCTCCGTCCGTCTTCACGAGTTGGTTGACTCTGAACCCAAACACAGCTGCTGTGAATCCCAGCCGTCGGTTAGATCCATCGCCGATGGAGAATTCTGATGTGTTCGGTTCGTCTACAGCGCCTTTGACGTGGCACGATTTCCTCGAGAGGATGCGCCATCCTTCCGCAGCGGATTTTGTCAAGGCCATCAAGAGGTGTTTTTCGCTTGATATTGTTTTTCTGAAATTCGAGGAGCTGCTGTATAGAAAGAATTTGGTATTGCTAGGTTTTTAGCACTTGCATAGAGTTAATTGTTGAATACTGAAATTCATATTGGTATTACTCGGCGAGGATTGATAAAAGCAATTAGTCACAATGCGTCCGTGTGGCAGTAATTTCTACTTTCAATCAAGTATGATGTCATTGAGGTTTTAATTTGCTGCCTTTTATTGCTGATCAGATGTTAGATTGTGTTCTCTTTACAATTATAACAAGTTTGTTGGAACATTGGATTTTTCCCTTTTAATGCACAAGTCGATTCACTTACTATAGTGTCTTGGTTTTCTAACCTATAATCTGACTATGATTTCTCATTCGGACCCTGCAGTTTCATAGTGTCATTTCTGAACAATGCACCAGATGCTGAAAGGGATAGTGAAGCAGTGCAGGAGTTCCTTGGAAATATGGAAGCAGCATTCAGGGCTCATCCCCTTTGGGCAGGATCTACAGAGGAGGAGTTGGAGAGTGCTGGTGAAGTGAGTATAGTTCCCTACACAAGATAGAATTTACAGTAGAGCAAGATACTGTCGAAAATTTATGCTGAATATCATATCTTGGTTGTCATGTTTGTTCACTTTCACAAAACACTACCGATCCCATTAAAATACACTATTTTCTCTCGTAGAACATTTAAAAAACAACAAAAACAGATTTTTTAATGAGTTTCATAATTTTTAATAACTAACAACAAAAACCCTCAAAAAATTCCTAACACTAAAAGAACACGACCTTGGGGCATTTTGAACTCTTTAAAATTCTTGGACAATCCAGCAACAGGATAGTTTGCTCAATTATGTGGTAGTGTATTAATGTGCTTTTGTTTCGTCCTCGTCCACTGCTGTCAGTGTGGAGTATTTCTCTCTTACTTTGTTAAATGTTAAGCACCATAGTAACAGGTGTTTGCTGAATTGCAGGGACTGGAGAAATATGTCATGACAAAGCTATTCACTCGTGTATTTGCTTCGATTCCTGAAGATGTTAAAGCCGATGAGCAGCTTAATGAAAAGATGGCTTTGATTCAGCAATTTGTCCGGCCTGAGAATTTGGATATTAAGCCAACCTATCAAAATGAAACATCATGGTTGGTGAGTGAAGAAATGAATCCTATATGATTATTCCATTATGTCGAATGTTTCATCCATTATGTTCCATGTGAGAATGATCTTAGGTTCTGGACCTCTGGTTCCTTTTTCTTGTGGAACCCGAATTGCCATTGCTATGCCAGTATTTTAATCAAGCCAATCAAGATCCCAACTTGCTAAAGGATATATAAGTAGATATGGCAGTGCGTGTTTTTTATTTTTATTTTTGGCTAGATATGGCAGTGGTTTTCCTCTAGAATTGTGTGATATATCCTCCTTATATTCCTTTCACAAGTAGCTCTTGCAAATTGCCTCATATTTTGGAGTAATGGAATGTTATATTGATGACAAAAGAGAAGCGGTGTCATTCACCTATTTAATTTCTAGTAGAGCTAGTTTTTATGTTGAACAAATTTTGATTGTCAATGGGATCCATCTAATGCTGAACATGTAGAATCAATAGTCTGTTACCTGTCTAGGTTATTTATTAAGAAATCTGACTCCATTTGTGTACTCCTTTGGCAGCTTGCCCAAAAAGAGCTGCAAAAGATTAACATGTACAAGGCACCAAGGGACAAACTTGTTTGCATTCTAAACTGTTGCAAAGTCATTAATAACCTATTGCTGAATGCATCTCTTGCTTCTAGTGAAGATCACCCTGGAGCTGATGAATTTCTCCCCGTTCTCATATATGTAACCATCAAGGTAATTCTGTCCTCTGGCTATGCATCCAGCAGGTTGCTTTCGTGTTTCAGTTTTGACTATATGCTTATGGTGTTTCTTTACTAGAAAAATATGGTGAAAAGCATCCTACTTATTTCACAAATCATATACGCCAACATTAGAAAACTTCTTGTTGGATTCCATCACATGTACACTGATGGATTGATTGCTCGTACCAAATCAATATTTTAAAGATGGTTTTGTCTAGTATCTCTTTTTCTTGAAAAAATAAATTTCTGCTAAAATCATTAAATCTTTAACAGGCTAATCCACCTCAACTTCACTCAAACCTTGCATATATCCAAAGGTTTAGACTACAGACTCGGTTGGCTGGTGAGGCGGCGTACTTCTTCACAAACATGCTCTCCGTAGAGTCTTTCATTACAAATATTAATGCAAAAGCTCTTTCTATGGATGATTTGGAGTTTGAAAAGAACATGGAATCTGCTCAGGCACTTCTTTCTGGTCTGAGTGAAAGTTCTGATAATTTCTATGGCCAGACAAATCAAAATTTTGATCTTGCTACCAAGGCAGAGTCAGCGGATCATGCAGCAACGCATCCTCATCCTCATGGTGAGTCATCAGAAACCAAATCCGTCATGAGTGAGGAATTATATGGGAAAAATGATGCATCACTAGATAAAGCTCCATCAATAACAGACCTAGAAAATAAAGGTGCAGCTTTGCTGTTGAAGGAAGAAGAGGCTAAGCAAATCTTTGTAGATTTCCCATACTTGTATTCCAAGGCTGGCGATCTGATGGTTAGTGATATCGATGATCTGCTAAACAACTATAGGCAACTGGTGATCAAGTATGTATGTCTTGCAAGAGGTTTAGGTGTGGCAATTCAATATCCGTCATTCAGCACTCAGGTGCCAAATTTTGAGCAACCTGAAAGTGAAGCTCCAAAGGATTTGGAAATAAGGAAAGAAGCTTATCCTAAAAATAGTATGCAGAGGAACTCGGAGTTAAATCTGGAGAACACCAATTCACATAAGCAGGAAGAAGCTTCCGAACAAGACTGAAGCTGACCAAGGGTAGGTAAATTTTCTCTTTAAATTTTACTACCATCGTTTACATGATGCAATGGAGAAAAATGAACTCTTGGATTGATATACTAGTTTCTAAAACTGGTTTTTGAAGTTCATTTTTGCCCTCAAATTAGGATTAGCTGAGGTTTCTGTAATCTATTGATGGATAATCTGAGGTAAATGAAGATATGAGCATGGATGGAAAGATCCAGGGTAAGTGAAGGTATGAATATGTTAAACATATGTTGTGACTCAAGAATGTAGCATGCAATTGGTTTTGAATGACTATTTAGTATGAGTGATTTAGAATGGAATGATTTGTCTAAAGAGAGAGAGAGGATTAGATTATGAAATGAATAAAGAATATGTTAGATTATGAAGTCTGATTAAAGTCTCAAGTCTAGGAATGAGGTTAAGGTATTACCAGCGTGGGTGGGTAGGTCAGTTGTAGGCTTAGGATTGCAATTTTATAAATATACATATATATATATATTAACACTTTATGATCGTGTGCATTGCAGTTTCTGTAGTAAAATTTCTGGTTTGCTTTGATAAATATAGATGAGTTTGAACTGAATAACTAAATTTCATGTTCCTCATTGTTGCATTCTATTCGGGTTCCTATTTATGTTAACAAAGAAATATGTTGGAGTTGGTTCTTGGTTCAGAGAGAGAGAGAGAGACCCCTTGTTGTTAAAGACAAGCAGAGCAGGCAGGCAGGCTTGAAGCACAAGAAAACTAGAGGTGTGTAAGAGTAGTACTAATAATAATAAGATATATGTGGGGTTGAGTTGAGTTGCTTTTATTCTTGCCTTTCTGTGTCGGCATGCCAAGCTTCGACTATGTGTAAATGTAAATAATTATTGTTGTGTTTCGGCTTTTTTAAATAATTGCTGCTGAGATTTTCATTTTCATTTTATTTTTATTTTTTCATAATTGGGGTTTGCATCATGACCAAGTAATGTCGTCGTCTCCAACTATTATACTTATAATACTGTTGTTTTTGTGTCATTTAAAAACGTTGTCATTCCCGAGTAATGTCGTCGCCTCCAACTCCAACTTAACTTTAGTGATGATGGATGACCCTCCCTCCCTCCCCCTAAACTTCAAATTTCAAAATAATTTGATAAACCAAATTATGCTCTCTCTCTCTCTCTCACACACACACACACACTTGGTAGAGGGTGGTGCTAGATCACAAATGGCATGGCATGATTGTTGCCCAGTCCAGCTCCGTTCATTTGTAGTAGTATTTAATACAGTAGTACTTATATATATCGGTCAGTCACTCCGAGACCCGTGCACTGCTGTCCGTCCTGTCTTGTCTTGTCCTCTCCTCTCCTCTCCTCTCCCCCCCACAGACAGACAATAATGATAATAATAATAATACTTTTAATCTTCCCATCAAAAAATAATTAAAATAATACTCTATTAATCAAATCAAAATTAAATTTAAATCTACCAATCTGTCTTTCTTCAATTCAATTCAATTCAATTGTTGCCCTGTGCGTGGGTCACAATAATAGTCCTAGTATTTGATAGTATTCCCTTTCCATTCCATATTCCATTACCCGGAAAGGTCAGTGAAGTCGGTCGGTCAGTCAGAATTCAGAAATGACAAGTAGAAGAGACAAATGTGGCAGCATTCCCCCCATCTCCTCCACATTCTTCCCACTCTGCCTCTTATCCTTCAAAGCCAAAGACATCCTTCCCCGCTGCCGGAGCCACCCAATCGCCGCCGAGCCCGAGCCCGAGCCCGACTCTCCCAGGGTCACCTGCATCGGGCAGGTCAAGAGAACCACCACCCGCGTCATTGCTCACTCCCACTCCCATAATAATTTTAAGTACGACCACTCCAAGGTACTCAAGTTCAAGAGATTCTTTTCCGACAGTCGGAGAGTGAAGAATGGTGGAGGAGGATTGAAGGAGATGGACATTGGGGAGCTGGATCCGCCCTTGCCGGTGGTCAAGAGGGCGGCGCCGGCCGACGCCATTTGGAAGAGGAGATCAATCAGCGGTAAGACGCCGCCGGAGATTCAATTGCCCGCCAGGGTTTAAATCAATGAATCCCATTGGAGATCGATCGATCTTGTCGTCTTCCTTGTTCTTACCATCTCATCCTCATTCTTGAATTGAATTTTGTTGATGTCTGTCTCGTCATCTTGCTCTAAATCAATGGATAGTAGTAGCCACGGCTTTTGTCTTTTCCCATGACTTTGAAATATCACACAAATATTAATTGATCAGCCCAGCCCACTAGTCTTTTTGTTTTTTTGTTGAAAGTAAGCTTGTCTGTCTTTCTAATTATAGTCCTGTCGTTTGTGTATGCTCCACGCTGGCGCACGTGGCGGACAAATTTGTAATTATACGTGCTTTTTCGAAACATCCACATTGAACATTCTTCCTCGACCTGCTATAACTATGTCAGGTGTCCGTTTTAAAGTGTTTTTTTTTTTTCTTTAAGTTGTGAAAGGTAATAAATTGTGTTGCGTAGGTAAACTTTGGCAAAAATATAATAATATTTTATTACTTCATGAAAATGTATAAGATAATTTTAATAATTTTTATATATAAATTAATTATATATGTAATATCCCTTCTGTTTTATAATAAAGTATTCATTTTTTTATTTAAGTTTGTTTCATAATAAAATATTTATTTATTTTTTTTTAATAACTGTAATATCTACCTAACATTAAAAATACTCTTACAACTTACAATATATTAGACAAATGTCATTATTTTTATATCACACATACTAATAAGGTTATTTTAGTCATTTTTATTTTATTCTTACTATATCTTAATATAATACTATTATTTTTAAAATTACGTGCAAAAAATAAATGGATATCTAGTTATGGGACGGAGGGAGTAATATATTTGAATTTATATAAAGAATTAAAAAATATTTTGATATTAATATAATTATTTTTATTAGTATAATAGAACATAGATATTTTTTAGGAGCAAAAATTATTTTTGATTTTATTCAATATCATAATTACTAATTTTGATAGTATTAATTTTTTTTATTAATTTTGATCTAATTCAAATGAAAATTTATCAATTTTAATCCAAAATGGTTGATTGAGACTGAACACGGCCGTATTGGATGACTCAGAAGGATGACTGGCACCAGACAGCCAACACGGCCATGTTGATTACCCTGCACGGAACATGGCCATGTTTATGCCCCTGTTCACGATCATGTTTCGAACACGGTCATGTTTCTGCCCCTGTTAACGGCCATGTTCTGAACACGGTCATGTTTCTCTGCACGGAACATGGCCGTGTTTATGCCCCTGTTCACGACCATATTCCGAACACAGTCATGTTTCTGCCTTTGTTCACCGCCATATTCTGAACATGGTCATGTTTCTGTCCGTATTCATACCACTGTTCACGGCCTAAACACGGTCATCTTTATGCTCGTGTTCACGCCCGTGTTCTGACACAGTCATGTTCGTGTCCATGTTCATGACTCTGTTCTCAATACAGTCATCTTCTAAGCAATGTTCACGACCATGTTCTGAACATGGTCATGTTTCTATCCATGTTTATGCCCCTATTCACGGCCAGAACACGGTCATCTTTATGTCCGTATTCTGAACACAGTCATATTCATGTCTATGTTCATGACTCTGTTCTCAATACAATAATCTTCTAGGCAATGTTCATCATTTTCTTTTCAATACAGTCGTCTTCTAGGTCATGTTCACGGTAATGTTTTCAATATAATAATATTGTAGATTATGTTTATTCTTATTTTTACTTCTTTATTAACATTATTTGATATATATTTATAATTCAATAAAAATATTTTTTACAATTATATCATAATAATCAACTTTTAGTATTTTAAAATATAATTAAAAAAATTTATAAAAATAATAATATATTAATATATATTTTTAAAAATCATAATTATATATATAGTTCAAAATTTATAGTGAAACTTATAAATTAAATGATTGTGTTTGAACATTAACACGGCCGTCTTCAGAACATGGCCGTGGACAGGAGCACGAACACGGTCACGTTCAGTGCAGGGTAATCTATACAGCCGTGTTGGTTGTCTGGGGCGCCGAGTCATCCTTTTGAGTCATTCAATACGACCGTGTTCAGTCTCAATCAACCATTTTAAAATTAAAATTGATAAATTTTTATTTGAGTGAACCAAAATTGATAAAAAAAAAATTCAATGGGACCAAAATTGATTTTTACTTTACTTTTTTTAGTGAAACAAAGATAAAAATAGCAAAAAAATATTTTTATATGAGAATGATGGAGTATATTATATATATTGATAGTCATATTTAAAAAATTCTCGTTAAAAACTCTCAGAAGCTGTTTGGATTATGGACTTATTTTATGAGATTGAGATTTCATTTATATGTGATGGATTTATTATATTTAGAATTTGGAATCCTATTCTATTTTTTGTTGGTAAAATTATGTGGAATTTATATTTTTCAATGAGTTGAAGGATTTTTATTTTTTATATTGTAAATGGCATAATTGTCCTCATATGAATTTTATTTATTTTGATAAATATAACCTCTAATTTATTAGTAATATAAATTGAAAAGATATCAATATTTTTATAGGGATGACAATAGGTTCGAGTAAACCTGAAACCCGACCCGGACCCGACCTATTTATTTGAAATTGAGTCCCAATTATTTGAGTATTTGGTCTGAGTCCGGGTCATGTTCAGGGTAGTATATTAATAACATATCAACTACACATAAAAAAAAAAAAAATAATACTTTCTAACAATATAATTATATTAAAAATATTTTTTTAGTTTACTTTATTCATTATTCTATTATAATAATTTTTTAATAAAATACATAAATTTTAATATATATTAGGTCTGGTATATGTGCAATTTTGAATTAAAATTTAAGAATTGTAAAAAAGAAAAATGGATTTGTCGAATCCATTCGGTCTTACCGGATATACTTTCGGTCGAACTCGGTATAATCGGATCCAATTTGAATCTCGTGTCTAATATTATATATTCGAGACGAATTTCAGTTTCGACTGAATCTAACTCATTGTTATCCCTATAATTTTATAATCCAAATAAAATTATAATAAATAATACTCCCTCCGTCCCACTACACTTGTCACTATTTCTATTTTTCTCTGTCTCATAACAATTGGCACATTTCTATTTTTAGTAAAAATTATTAATTCAAAATATATTTAACAAATATAAATCAACTTAATTAACTACATAATATACAACATCATAAATGACGTAGGACCCACTTAAAACCCTTTTATTTCTATCTCTCTCTTAAAAAAATAAATATTTTTATCTATATTTAAAACTATACATCTTTTATAAAATTGATTTATGTTAATTATAAATAAACAAAAATATTTTTTTATTTACTTGTATTATAGAAAATTTTATTCTCTACAAAATGATATCCATATTGCATATATTTTTTAATTGCTATATAGTTTTTAAATATTTAAACATATATTTTAATTTTTTTAATCATATATATTAAATTTAATTTAAAAATATAAATATTATTAATTATACAAAATAATAATATAATATTATCATAATTAATTATTATTAACTAATTAAACATTCTCGCCTTAAATACCGTGTCCCTAATCAAAGAGTTTAAGTGTGATGGGACGGAGGGAATAATTTTAAACAGTGAATTTATTAATTTATTTAAAAAAATATTGTAACATAAAAAGCAATATAAATTTAATTAAATATATAATTCAAATAATAATTAATTTTAAAATTATTTAATTTTTATTTTATATAAATATAATTATAATATATAATATTATTTATTTTATAAAAGATTATAAAAGTAAAATTTAAAATTCAAAGAGATTTAAAAGTAATGGGATATTCATTAAAAAAAAGATGCTTCATTGGTAGAATTTCGTACTTATTTTTTAAATCTCATTATTTTAATTTTTTTTTTAATCAAATATGAATTTAATAGGATTTTAAAATCAAATTTCATTTAATCTTTGAACCAAATATTCCCTTATAGGGTAGGGTGTATTTCTTCACGTTTGGTTTGGCCAAATCTACCGTGCACAGTAGTTTGGGTGTGAAACTCAAGCTAGCTGTTGTCTGAGCTAAGATAGGGAGTAGGGCTTTTGGTTGCAGTTTTTTTTCTCATTTTCTTTTTTTTTTTATTTAAATTTGTAAGATGATTTGCACGGTCGTACAAAAATGTAATAAATTAATTATTTACATATTTTAATAATTATAATTTAATCAAATATATACAATATATATTATTTAGTAAATAATAAAATTTAATACTCTCTCAATCCCAATTTAAAGTATATTTTTTTACTATTTTTATATGTCTCACTCCAAAGTATTACTCTCTCCGCCATTCAAATCTATGTTCACTTTTCTTTTTGAGTTGTCATCGAAAACTATTCTCGTTTCCCTTTTAAGTAAAAAATTATTACATTTTTGTATCTTTTTTTACTATAAAAGAAAAAATTAACAATTATTACTCACTTTTATTAATTCCTGTACCCGGTCAAATGAGCACATATTTGCATGATGGAGGGAGTATTTTCTATTTTAATAAAAATAATCATACACGAATACCAAAATACCTTTAAATTTTATATAAATTACAGACATATCATTATGCACACAATTAGTTTATTTATAAAGTAAAAAATATTACACATTTTTACTAACTAATAAAATATTATTATTTCTTAATCTACTACAAAAACTCAAATAACCCTTTAGAATGAGACAGTAGAAGTATAAAACAAATAAATAAAAAAATATAAAAATTTATTTATGATTAATATAAATTAATACTCAAAATACACTATTATTAATTTTATAATTTTAATTATATATATTTTTACATCATTATTTTATTAACTATTACATCAGACCCCCCAAAACTCAAACCAAACCTATAAATATAAAGGAATACAAAAATCTAAACTTATCATAAAGTTCAAATTCAAACTCAATTTTCCCAAACTACCCCAAAAGAAACACATCCGCATTTTTTTTTAATTACTTT